GCTAGGAGGCTCCTCTACCCGGCCTTCAGCTAGGAGGCTCCTCTACCATGACTTCAGCTAGGAGGCTCCTCTACCCGGCCTTCAGCTCTGACTCACACGTGGAGCATTTTCAGCAAACCACTAAGCCACTCAGCTATGTCATGGAACCCAACAAAGCTTTGTCAGTGCTAAAGCTGATGCAGTGATTTCCATTAAAAAAAAAAATCTCATTTACTGTTGGACTGCAAGCTCATCTTTAAAAAAAAAATGCATCGAAAGCATTCTCAATTCTATGAAGAAAGAAATTTACAAGCATTCTCAAATCTTATTTAGTGAACACTAAATAAATACACAAATAGAAAATATGCCATTTTAAAAAACAATCCAGGAATCTGTCTTATTTCAGTGTTTCCTGCCACAAGTCATACACAGTAAATTATTAAATCTACCTAAGGAAAAGCAAATTGTTTTCATTTTGCAAACCGGCTGCACAAGTTCAGTGGTATCTGCCTGAGGATCCCAAGCCAAACAGAACACTAGTGAAGATGAGAAACCTGAATGTTTAGCAGCATTGGCAGGTGAAATTTCCCTGCATACTGTGCATTTTCTGGCCTCCATAGAAAAGCACTTCCATAGGCAGAGGTGAAAGGAAAAAATGTGGGGGGATATGATTGGCAGAACAATGTCCCTCCCAAGACACCCATGTCCTAATCCATGAAACTGTTGAAAAGGAATTAAGACTGCAGGACTGGACAAGGGATTAGCTTTCCTAGCATGCATGAGGCCTGGGTCCATCCCTGTCACTGAAGAAAACACAGTAACAACCAAAAACTAAAGAATAGGAATGAAGACAAAGATCACTAATCAATCACTTGACCATAGGCTAAGGACTTTACCTGGGTTATATGATTATCATCACTGGGGCCTTTAAATATTTTATTATTTGAAACAAGGGGTCATATATTCCAAGATGGTCTTGAACTTGCTACATAGTCAAAGTTGACCTTGAACTCTGAACCTCTTGTGTCCAACTCCTGAGTGTTGGGATCACAGACATGTGCCATCATTTCAAATTTACATGGGGGGGGGACTGAAATAAGAGAGTATGCTAGGCAAGCATTGTATCACCTGAGCCACATCCCCAGTGCACAGAAGGCGCTCTCTCTCTCTCTCTCTCTCTCTCTCTCTCTCTCTCTCTCTCTCTCTCTCTCTCTGTGTGTGTGTGTGTGTGTACATGTGGTGTGTGTATACATGTTTGTATACCCCTGCACATGTGGCCATGAGGGCACGTGAAGAGCAGAGGCTACTGCCAGGCAGGTAATCTTCAATCTCCACCTTAAGCTCTGAGAAAGGATTTCTCACTGAACCCAGAACTCGCTCTCTGATTCAGCTAGGCTAGCAGGCATCCACATCCAGTGATATGCCTGTCTCCATCCCCACAGTGCTGCGTTTCCAGACATGCATCACTGTATCCAGCTTTTCATGTGACTGCTGGGGAGTAAACTCAGGTGTTCATGGTTGTTCAACAGCCATTTCTTCAACATCACTCCCCTCCCCAGCCCCAAAAGGAAAGTCAGAGAAGATATAAAGGGACACGCCCTATTGGTGGCCTTGAAATAGAGGAAGGGCTATAGGCCAGGGACTGCAAGGGACTCCAGCAGTGGAGAAAGACAAGGACGTGGCCTTCAACACTGGCCCTGCCAACATTCTCTTTTGATCTTAGTGGAGGCCATGCTAGACTTCTGAGTTATAAAATATGTATGTTGTTTTGACACAACATGGTGGCAATCCATTTTAGCAAGAGGAAACCAACCCGGGGTGAGAGGGGAGAAGACAGAAGAGGAACTGCTACTGTCTGAATGAGAGTGGCTGGTGGGGAACAATTCCATACTGCTTTCTTTATGAGCTAACTGAGAAATCTCACTTAGACAGACTGGCACAGCAAAGTCGCGGGTCAGATAGGGAGGCTGGCTGTGGTGTTCCTCGACCTGTGTGAGCTTCATTCTCGGCTGTGGCACTACTTGATAAAGAGGATCCAGAATCTACTGGGAGCCTGAGGGGGACCAGCCATGGCTCAGGGGCCAGCTCAGGGCAACAACACCAGACCCTGCACTGGGTGCCAAGGGTACCACAGAGGAAATAGGTGGTAACCACCGGTGGTATGGATGTTTAACAGGAGGAATCCCACATTCATCCCCTACGCATCTACACCATGGTCCAGTCTTAGAAAAACGAGGATTTAGTTCAGGGCTAAAGACTGCTTCAGCTGTTCCTGGTTAAGACAAGCTGAAAACCAAGGGTGAACGCAAAGCCCCCTGAGACTGCAGCAGCAAGAAGAACTACCCGCACGGGGCCTAATTTCTCACCTACAAAGACAGATGCTGGTTGCTTTGATGCACTGTGTGCATGGTGAATGCAGAACTACAAGCGTCGACTACTGATGAAACACCTTTGTGCACTGTGAGATGAGAAATGAAGTCCCCCGTTTCAATTATATAAAACACAGGCATAAAATGGAAGACCTAACAGATGCAGTCATGTGATGCTCCAGGTGATACATGGGTTCCACCTTAGCAACTCATGTTCACTGTAGACCCAGGATCAGCTCCCTGAAAACAGTTTGCACAACAGTAGCTTTTCCAACTCTTCCCTTCTCCCCAAAGTCACTGAGAAAGACATAGCATGAATGGCATGGAACAAACTGGGAAGGATGTGGTTTAAGTGCCGGCTCCTTCGGTTTCTGGATGCTCAGCGTATGTCCACCTTCAATCACATGAAGAGAAATCCTAGGAACCCTCACAAGCTGTTCTGAGCACAGGATGAGGTTGCTGCTGGGGAAGGTTCTTCTCACCTCACAAATGACAGACACAGTCAATGTGATTACAGCAGCTGCCATCACACTGTATGTCCGAAAAGACTAGAGCTGATCAGCTACACTGCGAGGATCGGGTTCTTCATGCAATAAACAGGAGCAGCATATGTACTGTGGGAGGTCCAAGATGATAGGCGTGCACCTTGTTACACAAAGCCAGTACCTGAGACGTTCAGTCGGTGGGAGCTGTAAGTGTGGTGACCAACAGCGTTTCCGTATTAGATAACTCTATGAAATTTTACAGCAGGCATTTTCAAAGAACATTTTAGAGCAATATAGTCAGAAATCTTAAAGATTCCATTACCCTGTGTACATACCAACAGAAATAGCATTGTCAAGAGTCAGGCTGCTTGAAGTGATACACAGAGTTTTGACTGAAAAGCACACTAGGTCACTTTTCTTCCTCTCCATAATTACATGAGAGACTGGCTAAGTACATACCACCACACACATTAAACAAACATCACGTACAAGTATTAGGAAAAGATAGAGAGACGCCATCCTCCAAGCCTTGCCACATGCTAGGCACTGCAGAGGGTACACCAGAGCACTCTCCCACTCACATAAAAAGCCTGCTGGGTAGGCTTCACCACACCCGTTTGACCAGGCAATGTACCTGCAGTAACCCAAGATCTGAAGGCATGGATACACGCCCCTAAACCTGGACTTTTCCTCCCAGCTCACCCCAGTTCTGAGTGGGAAATGCATGCCTTGTCTTCTGTCTGCATCCTCTGACCCTGTTCCTTGAACTGCTCTCTAAAACATAAAGAAAGACTATGCTTCTGGAAAGAAGGAGCACAAAATCGACTCCACCCATGCCAGCTAAAGGTCTGGAAAGCAAAGGCAATGCCGAAAGTGGCGTGTGTCCAGCTGGAATTCCCACGGCCACCTCCCGGGCCCCTTACCTTGAAGGAGGCATGCTGCTCCATGTGCCGCAGCAGCTGTGGCTTCTGGGCTGCTGTGTAGTCGCACACTGTGCACTTGAACTGTTTCCCTGGAAAGAAGCGGAGGACAAGGTGAGCGAGGCCAGGCTGGCAGCTCCCGCACGTCACGGGGCCAGTACACAGAGGAAGAGCAGATTCTCAGAGGGGATCGAGAGCCAGGATGATCAGTTGTCAGAAAGTAGGAGCAGGAAGGAGCCCACCACTGAAGGAAGAGAAGGGCCAGCTTTACCCAGGGAAGCTCTGAGCGGTAACTAACATTGGAGCACACTTCTACAGGAAGAGAAAAGGTATGGCCAGCCACCTAGAGAGAGAAGGGCACTGAGAAAACAAACAGAGGTGTTCAAGAGAGACAGAGATAGAGACAGAGATGGAGAGACACTGATCAGCAAAATGGGCCACAGCATGGTCAGAAACATGAAACAGCAGCATCTTCCTTCTGGAACCAGAAGCATGCAGTCTACAGGAAGTTCAGAGCTAACCTGGAAAGAGGGAAGCCAGAACATTGAGGATCCAGAGCATCTCAATGAAGATGAGGTCCTGAGCATCAGATCAGTCTACAGGAATATGCTCTACACAGAGAAAGATCACTGTGCAAACCCCCCATGCTGTGGGAAAGCCAACAGCATGCCTTCAGCAGTGCCACAGACAACTTCAGAGAAAATCATTGTCTTAGCAATGTATAAAGATTCAACAATTGGGTGAATGGGTGTACGTGTCAAAACAAGGAAATGGATATGAGGAACACATTACACGTCTCCGGATGAGAGTAAACAAAATCTCCATTTGCCATCATACAAATATGTAACCAAACAGAAGTATGACCTCCTATCTGCAGTGGTAAATGGTCCTAATAGTGCCAGCATTGTGGGAACATAGCTACTGCCCCTGCCGCGTGGATCCCAAGCAATCCTTGCTCCTCTGGAGAGTGCCACACTGCTACTTCAGACCAGACAGGTAAGACTCTCTGTAGCTGCATCCCTATATTCCCCTGCTCTGCAATCCTGAAGTCAAAGCAAACCAGGGAAAGGCACATGTGGCCTTGACTCCTGTTCTTACAAAGGTAACCACTAGGTCGGGCCAATGACAGATGCTGCTCCTGGTTTTACTAGATGATTCTACTATCTGAGATTCTGTTGACATTCTATGACCTGAAAACCTTATTCTTTGGTACGACATCACCACCACCTTCATGTGTGTCTCTGACTAGTCACTGAGTATCTTGGTGACAGTACCCATGTCCATCATTCTCTATAAACTGATGCCCCACAGCCCACATTCTGATGCATCATTGCACATGACTGTTCTCCACAGTTCTGGCACACGCGTGATGCCCAAATCTACACCTCTGACTCAGTCCTCTTCCCTCAACCCAACGTTTGAGAAGTCACCTATTGTCTTAGTCACTGTTCTATTCCTGTGAAGAGACACCATGACGAAGGCAACTCTTATAAAGGAAAGCATTTAATTGGATGTGGCTTACAGTTTCAGAGCTTTAGTTCATTATCATCATGGTGGGGAGCACGGTGGTATGCAGTCAGACATGGTGCTGGAGAAGTAGCTGAGAGTTCTGTATCTGGATCCATAGGCAGCAGGAAGAGAGAGCAATAGGACCTGGCATGGGCTTTTGAAACCTTAAAGCCCAGTCCTAGTGACACACTCCAACTAGGCCACACCTAATTCTCTTCAAATAGTACCCTTCCCTGAGGTCTATGAATTCAAATATATAAATACTTATTCAAATCACCACATTCCATTCCCTGGACACCATAGGCTTGTAGCCATACCATAATACAAAAATGCATTTGCAACAACTTCAAAAGTCCCCATAGTCTTTCACAGTCTCAATACACCTTCAAAGTCCAAAGTCCCTTCTTTGTTCATGGAAATCTAACTGTAATCCCCTGTAAAATCAAAATAAAAAGGAAGATCACATACTTCCTATATAAAATGCCACATGATAGATATTACTATTCCAAGAAGGAGGTAAAGGAGCACAGTAGAGAAATACTATAATACCAAAGCAAGAACAAAAACCACCAGGACAATCTCCAAACTCTGCATCTCCATATCCAATGTCAGAACGCTCTTCAGATCTCCAACTATTTCCAGCTTTGTTGACTGCAACCCACTTCTCTCTCTTGGGCTGGTTTCATTCCCTGTTAGTAGCTGTCTTTGGCAGGTACCCCACACCTTTGGCATCTCCAACATCTTGGGGTCTCCAACACAATCCAGGATTCACTCTCACAGCTTCACATAATGGCCTCTCTGGGCTTCCATGCAAGAACACTGCTGACACACAGCTGGCCTCAGGAGCTTTCCTTAGCCATGGTAGGGGGTGGGGGTAAGATTCGACACCCCTTTTCTAGTGTCCTTGACATTAGAGACAGAACTACATGGCCAAAGCTGCCAAGTTCTGCTGCTTGCTAGGAATGGAACTTGGTCCCCTCATTCAAATACATTTTTATCAGCTTTCTGTTTTGATGGTTTCCTTCACTGCTGAAGCTTTTCCATAATTCTTTTTCACTTGTTGGAAGCTTAGCTGGATAGGGTCTTGCCCTGAGTTCACTGCCCCCTTTATTCCATCAGCATTAGGCTTCTCTTTAAATTTTCTACCTCCTTGAGCCCTGGACTTGGCTCCCACATTACATTTCCTGCTACTCCTTTTCTCCTTAAACTAAATATTTTGTATTTTCCCTTGCTCAGCTTCCTTGTTTTCATTATATATCTGCATAGGTGTTATCACTAATGACTACACAACACAGTCAATATGAGTCTGACTTGAAATCTCTGTCAATGCCGTTCATCAAAAACTCTTCAATTTAGCCTCAGGCAGACTTTTGGACAAGGGCAAAAAGCACCACATTCTTCACAAAAAAATATCTCAAGAACAGTCTCTAGGCCACTGGCTAATCTTCTTCCCCTCTGAAACCTCTTGAGCTGAGCCATCATAATTTACACTGCTCTCAGCATGTCTGTCTTCCATGTTCCTACTAGGATGACCCATTATGTCCCACTTAAAGCGTTCAACTGCTTTGTTAATCCAAAACTTCCAAAGTCCATATTCTACCAATAAGCAGCATGGTCAGGCCTAGTATAGCAATACCCCAGTCCCTGGCACCAACTTTCTGTCTTAGGTGCTGTTCTATTGCTGTGAAGAGACACCATAACTCTTATAAAAGAAAGCATTTAATTGGGGTTTTCTTACAGTTTCAGAAGTTTAGTCCACTATTCTCATTACAGGGAGCATGGTGGCATGAAGGGATACATAATGCTGGAGAAGTAGCTGAGAGTTCTACCTCTGGATCCACAAGCAGCAGGAAGAGAGGGTGACACTGGGCCTGGCATGAGCTTTTGATACCTCAAAGCCCACCCCCACTGACACACTTCCTACAACAAAGCCGCACCTCTTAATCTCTTTCAAATAGTATCACTCCCTGATGACTAGACATTCAAATATATGAGCCTTTGGGAGCCATTCTTATTCAAACTACCATAACCATCTACTGGACTGACCACTTACCTGTCCCAGTGTCCTAAGCTGGACTAATTATCATCCTCAGACAGTGGGTTCCATGTCTAGACATAACAGCATTACCCATGTCATCCAAGTCTAATGCCTGGTAGTTTCTTCAGATCTATGAACTTATATGTTGTGGTTTGGATGTGACGTGCCCCCACAGACATACACATTCAAACATTTAACCCCCAACTGGTGGTGCTGTTTTAGAAGGTTACAGAACATTTGGAAGGTAGGGATTAGCCATAGGAAGTGGGGTCATACATTGAGGTTTGCACCTGGACTCTACTTCCTGTCTAGACTTTTGTTTCCAGATCAACCCAGGTGTGAACAGACTTCTCCTACCACAGCCACAGGCCACTCCCACCACCACATTACTCCTTCACCCATACCTCACAAAAGATCATTTCACTGCAGTTTGCCTCCCACTCTGTTCACTGTAACTGCCTGTTCACAAGTTGGGCTGCTATCACCTGCCACGTCTCTTTCATCTTAGCAACCCAGTGTCTGAGTGTATACATACTTGAACGTTTTTTGTGAACCTTATTAAGTGGAAATAGGCAAGAAACAAATAAGAAAGCTTTTATATTTTACAAGCAACACCCTTGATGAGAGCAGCAAAAAGAAACAAATGGTTCAAGAATTTTAATGCTAGGTTATACCTCTCTTTATATGTATGAACTCTAAATTCTAGATTCTGTGTGTGTGTGTGTGTGTGTGTGAAGTTCACACAAGCTAGAGTCATCAGAGGAAGGAGCCTCAGTTGAGGAAATGCCTCAATGAGATCCAGCTCTAAGGCATTTCCCCATTTAGTGATAAATGGGGGAGGGCCCAGCCCATGGTGGGTGGTGCTATCCCTGGGCTGCTGGCTCTGGGTTCTATAAGAAGGTGGGCTGAGCAAGCCAGTAAGCAGCTCCCCTCCATGGCCTCTGGGATCCTGCTCTGTTTGAGTTCCTGTCCTGACTTCCTTCAGTGATGAACAGCAATGCTGAAGTGTAAGCCTAATAACCCATCTCCTCCCCAACTTGCTTTTTGGTCATGGTGTTTTGTTGCAGCAATAAAAACCCTAACTAAGACAGTATGTGTATGTATATATATATAGGCTTATATGTATTGTGTGTAATTTTAGCCTTGCTGTTGTTCTTGCTTGCCTCCCAGAGTGTCTTAATTATTTTTCTATTGCTGTGATAAAACACCATAACTGAAAGCATTTATTTTGCCTTATGATTTCAGAGGTTTAGAATCCACAATAGTAGAACAAAGGAATAGCTGAGACCTTATATCTTGACCCACAAACCATGAGACAAAAAGAGAGAATACTAGGAATTGTGTGAGTCTTTTGAAACCTCAAACCATACCTTCAGTGACACAATTCCTCCAAAGTCACACCTCTCCATCCTTCCCAAACAGCTCCACCAACTAGGGACCAACTTTTTCAATATATGAGCCTAATGAGGGTCATTTTCATTCAAGCCATGACACAGAGGTTGAAAGCAAGTCTTTATTGCTGAAGACACCATGCACTTTAGACAA